ACATACATACACACATACATACATTCTTCATTCATTCATTCATTCATTCATTCATCCGTGCATGCATGCATACATATATATACACACACACACACCTAAGTACATGCATAAACACATGAATGTACATACGGACATACATACATGCCTACGTACAGACATACATTCGTACATATAGTCATACATTCATACATTCAAACATACATAAATAACGGGTCATTGATTCTTACATTTCTGGTTGTGGGGTCAGTAAAGCCGCCTTTTGTAGCCAGAGGCCTTGCTGCCAATTCAGTGAGAAGAGTAGGGAAGAGTCACGTTAAACTTAATGACTGGCCAGCAGAGTTATGCATTGTGCACATGGAAGTATCCCAGCGGTTTTGCGGTGTTTTGGTTTATCTCGGCGCGAGAGGGCGGGCCGACAGCAAAACGTGCCATCAAACCGTACGTGTCTAGGCAACGGCTCGGGATAGGATTTTCAATGTTTACGTAAGTTTAAGGTTGACGGGTATGGGACCATGAGGTTTAGAACCAGAAGCGTACGGAGTTTTCTGCCTCCTGGTGCCGGTTAGAACCAGAAGCGACGTGGTTTTCTGCCTCCTGGTGCAGGTGCCAACTCCGAAAACGCTTCTCAGCGTTTGCAACGAACGCGGTTTGCCTTGACTCTTGTCATACTCAACCGGCTCTTGCTCCAGAAATCATTATTCATTAGTGAAGCTGGTTCCGAGTGCACAGTATCAATCTTGAAGATTTACCCCGCAACCCTTCAGCCTCCAACCTTCTGCTTGATGTGACAAGGGTTCCGCTGCAATTCTTGTGGTGTGTGTGAGAGACCGGGGCCGTTCTGCGCCAGTTTTGAAAAACAGATGTTGCTTGTTGCCGCCATCTCAATGTATGGAGCTTACTACTCCGCGTCAAGGATGATATTGAAGCACACGTTGAAGAGAGGTTAGACTTCAGCATATCAGGTTCGTATACATGTAGAACGATCCCAACAGCAAAAAACGTCAAACCTAGAGCCGTTGCTGCAGTCTCACTCCTTGCTTGCAGGTCGTACCTGTTGATGTCGTGCAATAAAGGCAGAGCGTGGCGTAGGTAATAGGCGGTGTTGGGTTTCTTACACCGATGGTGGAACTCCAGGAAAAGACTTTTCTTACAAACCTGTATGTCAACCGTATAGAACCTGTATAGCCCGCATAAACTCTTGTAGAATCCTCTCTGTTCTTCCAGGGCACCGAGCTCACATGTCAGGCTTTGGAACTCAAATCTCTACCAGGACTGCAAATCAGAGTCAATCAACATGGTTTGGGGATTCGATGCTCCAAGTGTGTAAACTCTGAACCGAGGAAGACCATGGGCAGCGCCACAACGGGCAGCGCCATCACCACAGCAGGACCGTATCTCCCACTAGATAGGAAAAGTCATGCATTTGTCATAGTATTCCCATTGAGTTCCCTAATATGTGCATAAGTTACCGGTGAAGCAATCTTTCAGCTCTAGCACTGATGTCGGCACCGCGATGAGGATTTAAGGTTTGAGGACTAGGATTAATGACTTCCAAAAAGTTTGAGATATCAGGTGTTGTTGATGTGGCTTGGCATTCAAGTCACTTGACTCGCTTTTGCCAGCCGGGGCGTTCTATGAGCCAAGTGATGCAATCCTCACAGATGCGACCTCGACGCTTTAAAGATCGTTAGGCGCTCGTGGTTTTCGAAGGCAGGATGTGGGAATTGTGCTTTGGGGGTCATATGGCTCTTTTGGCACAGAAAACCGCTAACCTGAACTTCACAGACCATGTAAGCCAAGAAGTTGCTCCAACTATCCCGCCGCCCCGCCCCCCGCCCACCAAGCCTAATTCGCTGGCGAGCAGGGTCATCCTTCTTCTTGGTCTTCTGCACCCTCACTGTTTTTGCCAAGTTGGGAGCCATGTGCTTCGCAGTTACGACACTTTGGCTGCGAGGTGGTGACACGAATCGGCAAACCCAAGAAGGATTTAGGGTCTAAGCAAACAAACCCTAGCCCTAGACTCTCTAGGGCGGATGCTGGGACTTATATAAACCGTAGAATGCAACTCGTTTTTCAACAGCTTCAACTGGCAAGGCTAAGTGCCCATGTGCCCTGAACGCTAGGAGGTGGCATGCTGCAGGGTTCAGCATATGACGTTTACAGGATGGTTTTGCATCCTTCCGCCTCGAAAGTCAGAACCTAGAACCCCGAAGCCTGAGGCACACTCTAAACCCCAAAGCCTACGGGTCAAACCTGTTCAAATAGTCCGACTCAGAACACCGAGCATTAAATCCCGAACCGCACATCTTAAACTCTTAACCGAAAATCCCAGCTGAGGTTAGAAAAATACAGTCATAAGTATTGAAGTTTTGGACAGTTTGGAGCACGGCTCTAGAATGACTATCTTCGCGAGGATAACGATGTTCGGACTCTCTAGCTTCTGCTTTGCTTTCGAAGTCGGCCCATGAGCCCAGCAAAGCCTTGCAGGGCTATAAAATTTCACTTCTTCGAGCCACCAGATTGGGCTGTTGGCAGCTTCAGTGTTTGGCTTGTGGCTTTGGGGCTCAAGGATGCTGTGTTTCGAGGCAACCCCGAGCCCTGCACCCCGTGAGCCTCAACAGTCGCGGTCCACTGTTTTGGTTTGAGAGCCCGCGGCGCAAGGCATGGAACCTAGAATTTCCTTCAAGGTTCATGCTCTGTTTCGGAGCTTGGGGTGTAGTTAAACTGTTAGGGTTTACGGGTTGGCGTGGGTGGAATCTTTGTTGGCGCATCAGGCTAAAGCCGGATTATCCCAAGCCCCACTCGTGCGAGGGTCCTTCTTGTGGGTCAGCCTAACTAAGGGCTTCCACGACAAAGGAGTCCGCATGCGAAGTAATTGTTCATATCCCCTTCGTCCGGCAGAAATCTACCACAAATTATTCGGATTACGAAATCCCCTGTATTGGGGCTTCAGGGTTCAGGGTTTGGGGTTTAGGGGATGTCAGCGTGCTGCGGTTTCGGGTGCAGGCTTGCCTGAAGGAGAGAGCCAACCGCAATTTAAGGTTATGGCACAGGCCGCGGTAGGATTGATACTGATACTACAGACTTGTACGAGGTCCTTTCTTCAACATCTTCCAGATCAAGGTGCTGAGGGTTTGGCAGCTATTGCAGAGGTCTTATAACGATTAGTAAAAGTCTCTCTTAAGAGTCGCCGGATGCCTATGTAACAAAAAATAACCCCCAAACCCACTCCAATAGAAAAGGCCTCTCTGCATGTTAGCCAAGGACGGCGTCCATCATCTTCGCCTTGTGCCCTCTGGGCTCATTCCTCATGATGTGATGCTCATCCGCATACGGCAACGAAAGGGTACCGGGCTCTCGAAGCTAGGGCTCAGAGCTCGGGATTCTCGAAATTCTGGCTGTTGCAGATTTGGAGAGTTGGGGGATTCAATTTGGGGTTTGCGGCATCGGCGCGATCACTTGCAAGCGTTTGGCAGCTGGGTGCAGTCGGAAGAAGCCCCAGCTGCAGATTCTAAATCCGTAGTTTTGGGAAACTCCAAGGCCCTCATTTGTCCCTGTGACAGGTTTTATGATGTACGGACCCTCACATCCCAGAAACCTCAGACGCTTAAACTCCAAACCTCAAGCCCTGACTAGACCCAAGCCTATAGCCCTCAAGCTCGAGATAGCACGAAAGATCTTCGATCTTGGCTACTGCCCGCGATTGCTGCCCCTGACCCATGATCCCAGACCCAACATCCTGCATGTTGAACCATTGGACCATACGATAGAGGAGCCGTAGTGAACAAGCCGCAATGTTCGTTCTTTAGGTCACTTTGTTTGCTTTTCTTGCTGTGCTGTTTCATGCCCTCTGTCCAGATGCAAGCCGCGCAGAGCCCACAGCCCATCTCTACTTCCAAATCCTCTCGCCGCAAACCCCAACGCCCTGCAACCAATGACCCGAGTCGTAGAGCCCGGGTTGCTTCCGTTTTTCTGGGTAGTGGGGGTTTCTTCGGGGTGTGTCGCGTCCGTGGACGAACGATAGGCCCGGCAGGAGGCGGGCTCATTTCTGCGGTTTGGAGTTGTTCTTTCCGTCCGCGTCCCGCTGAATCCACAAGTGAAGGGGACCAGTGATGTGAGTAAGAGCCCAACGCCATGCAAAACCCTGCAAAAGGGGCGCTATTATCGAACCCTATATAGTACCCTTAAACGGGGACCCTACTATAGAACCCTAACAGCTCGCTACTGTACACCCTGTACCCATCCGAAACGCCAAGTTGGACCTGTTCGCCCGGGAAACTGCGGGCTCTTGAGACTTCGGAAGC